CACTCCAGTAAAAGTGGCGCAGTGCAGTCTGGTTAACTGCAATGCATTGTGGTAAAAAGTGATGAATTCGAGAATTCGTACCCCCTTCTATATATTCTCCTTAAATCCTGATTATGTTGCTGCTCGCTCGCTCCGCTCGCTCCGCAGCAATTATGTAACCTTGATAATGGCGCAAGATGCACCGAAACGTCACTTATATTTCTTGTCTCCTGTATTTCCAAATCGTTTCTTAATTATTATTATTATTATTATTATATTATTATTATTATTATTATAATTGTTATTATTATTAATTATTATTATTATTATTTATTCCTTGTCATAACAGTGTACACGTGAGACACACACCTCACTCTGTAGATTTTTGATGTGGTGTTCTTTTGCTGATAAAGATGTCTGAAGGACAGAAATGTGCTCCTGTTGGTTTGCTTGATGAGCTTTTAAAGTTTCAAGTTTGGTTTCTGATGCTGTTAATGCTGCCTCTTTCTTACCAAGATCCACTTTAAGTGACTCAATCTTAAAACAAAAAGTAAACAATACTATATTGGGTAGAAACACAATTACTGGTGACCCACTAGTTTACAGTATGTCAAGGTAAAGCCCTTAAAAGTTCAAAATTAAAAAGCCAAAAATTAGCCAAAGAACAAGTCTGCATAATTTTGAGTCTAGAGGCCCCATCAAGCCAACATAAAAAATTACAGTATCTCCAATTTCCATAGCTATGTCTTCTTGGCTTTGTGAAAGAAAGATTTTTTCAGGAAGCAACACAATGACGCCAGACAGTGCTTGAACCCAGATGGCTTGATGCTTGATGCTTGGCTGACGATGCTTGAGTAAATTGCACCAATATCTTTGAGGATATTAGTATAAGTTTTTGCTATCTTTAAGTTGAAGTAAAATAAAGTTTTCTAATCTACCTAACCACTGGGCCAACACGCAGGGGTTTCATTGTCATGCAAGAGGGCAAATTTGTGGTTTTCACCCGCACAGGTGAGCAAAACCTTTTGGAACTGAACTTCGTCATGAGAAAAACTTTCCTCTAGAATGGTCAAACCATGGGGCAAAATCTTCCTCACAGCCTGTCATTTTGCACTGTGCCCAACCCTTAATAAAACTGTTGCCAACATGTCTTTTTCATTTAATATACATGCAAAACACTTGGATCACTTGGCTTTGAGAACTAAGCAGCTGGCTTGAGGCCATGTAGCCTGCCACTCTAACTCTCACTTAATATCTGATGTAAGAATACCAGTCAACAAATAACATAGACAAAAAAAAAAAAAAAAATGGAATTGTACGATTTTCACTATTATTACTTTTTATAAATTCAGATCTCCCATCCATATAATTTCTTTTATTATGTTCCTACTTACCTTGGACTTCATGAATTTTGAGTGACTCTCATACACATCAGTTTGTTTCTTATCCTCTGATCTTTTTTTGTCATCTTCTGACGCTGCCTTCTTGAGAGTTTCCATCTGAAAGTGAGTCATGGTGAGTGGATAAATGTCACATGTTTCTTTGAAAAAAATCTGCACAGATATCACATACGTGATGGAGCTTTCATAGCTGCATTTACCTTAATTAAAAGAAACAATATTCTTCTGGAATTCAATACTGTGACTACCAGCAGTTACATGTATATCGAAGTTATATTAAATGTGAGTTAATTAAAATGCTTGTCATATCTGCATGTTCATCTAACTTTTTCCTGCTAACTGGAATATGAGGCCTTGAAATAACAAGAGAACAATTTATTACCACTGATTTACATCTGGATTAATATTGATCTACTGGCAATAACCACTGAGCTAATTCAACAAACAATATTAAAAATTGTTGACTATGAAGAGAGCAGAATGTCTATGCTTTCTTTATATTGACTTTATCAATACACACATCGTGTCTACCATGTTTCTGCATGAGGCGCCAACTTAACCCCAGCTTAAGAATAGTTGTTTAATGTACTAAGTTATCCTTATTCAATTCTAGGATGATTCTTTTCATTTTTCACGATATTTCATGAATTTTTATACTGTAACCAGTCTGTTACATTTGACAATTTCCTTGTCCAATTAACAATCAACAAACAATATCAAATATGTTGTTGATTAATATATTATATTGAAGAAAGCAGAATGTCTGTGGTAAAAAATTGTTTTTTATATTGGCTCTAAAATCAATACACACACATCACGTCTTCTATCAGGTTCCTGCAAGAAGCTCCAACTTAAACCTGGTTTAAGAAAACGTAATTAATGTACTAAGTTATTTGTATTCAATTCTAGAATGACTCCTCATTTTTCATGATATTTCAATTTTTTTTATATACTGTTCTGACTTATACTTTTATGCAATCCTTGTCTATTTTTGATTTACAAATAAAGAAGCAAATACCACTTAGATATATATTAGACTGTTACAAAACATAAGAGACATTCAAGAACACAATGGGAAATTTTAATCAATAATAACAACTAAATGACTTAAACACTCAAACAGACTCTAACCCAACCAAACTGTTCACTTTGTTATGTAAGGTCTTTTGTTTCAATGCCTTATTCTATTCTAGATGTTGA